CCCGGGGCCTCGCTCGGGGGCCCGAGCGAGGCCCCAGGCCTGCCACCCTCCCTCCTTGCAGCAAGTGTCTCCGGGGATTTACTCTCTGGGTCTGGTTTAATCACACTAAGCATGAAGTAGAAATGAGTAATTTTCCCTGTCGGAGACTCTGAGGGGGCTGGCAGCAGCGTATGCTGGTGTTGCGCCGCAGTGAGTACTGCCAAGCTGCCAAAACGCTCTTAAAAAGATGTGGGGAGCAATGTGTGAAAGGAACCTGTCTTATCCAGGGAAACTCCAGACCTGGTGAGCCTCAGGGAAGCTGGAGAGGGGTGAGGAGGAGCTGCTGTGCTGAGTGTGAAGGTGTCAACATCTGCCAGTCACAACCATCTCCCCAAGACCTTCTGCACATGCCTCTTGCTTTATGCTCTGATGAGAAATATTTGGGGCAGAATCTTTTTCTGCTGAGTCCACTGACTCCGAACTGGGGCTCCTCAGTGCAGGTGGTTTAGAGCATCATCACTCAAGAACTTAATTTGTGAATAAGTAACCTTGGCTTGAACAGCCATAGCAGACTCAATCCTCTGGGGAGTGATTCTACCTGGAGAAACTGCTCTGCTTGCTGTGCCGCACTGTACACACGTGAGACAGGACGCACACTGTACCATGAGGGGCCACCATCATGTAGCACATCCACTGTGCAAGGAAACGACAGTGCAGGCCTTGCTTCATCTGACTCATGATCATTTTCTTCTTGAATGACAACCCCAGGCAGACCCAGGAGTGCTGGGTGGACCTGTCACAAAGGACCAGCTGACCATTGCCCTGAGAGATGGCAGACAAGTGTTGCCAAGCATGTACCTGGTTGGAAATCTGGCTGGGCACAATAATAATTACACTAACAAAATTAAATTTCAACTGTTTATTGGCTCAGGCAAAGTAAGGTTTCTGGACACACCTCCACCCCCCACTCCCCGCCGTTCCTTTCTCAGCCTCAGCTACAGGGAAAAAGAGTTAACTGCAACCTGGACAGGCAGGTCATTACTTCTTTCAAATCTTACTTTCTAGGCTGACAGCATTGCTTTAGGCAGGCTCCTCAGGTCATTTGACAAGTCAGCAGCAGCCTGGGAGAGAAGACAGAACGCTTGTTCTGTGCTCTACAGCCACGCCCCCGCCTTTTCTCCCCAGCTGACCATGCCACTAGGGGTCCTTATGTCTGCAATCCCTGTGGCCAGAAGGAAAACTATGTCCAATCTCCAAAACATTAAAGGAAAGTACTATGCTTTGTTAAAATTAAAGCCAGTGTCCCCAACAGTCTAAGCATTTATTCCTAAACATCTGCTGGCAGACGCTTCCATTTCCCCTCTGTTCTTTTTGCTCCACAGGGACTGCTGTGTGCTGCAGCAGTCCCTACCTGGGTGCAGACCTCTCACTCGTGTGTTTATCCCATTTGGTGTCCCACGGTATCGCAGAGAGAGTCAAGTGTCTCATCAAGGACTGTGTCTAGGCACGGTGCTGATGTGAGCTCTGCTGATGAATCACACCGAGAAAAGATAAATGACGGGGAATGTAATTGTGCATGAACGTAACATCCCCATCCAGCCAGGCACTGAATTTTAATGAGGTTTTATGCAGAACTCTTCCAACCTAAACAATTCTATGATTCTATGATTCCATGATGTCAGTGCTTGTCTGTACTACAAGCTACCTTTTACTGTCAGCAAATGGAGAGCTCAGAATGATGCTAGCTGAGGCCAGGAAAACTATGTGCAGCACTGTTTTGGGAATTTGAGGCTAAGAATGGCTTCAGGCAGGTTTTCCTCATCGTGGCTGAAATTATCCACATCAGGGGCGCCCAGCAGCATATTGGTGGGAGTGATTTGTGGCTTCAGTACCGGTGAAGTTGAGGAGACTCCAAAACCAGAAGATTAGAAAATGAATCCTAAAAGTGGATCTCCAGCCTGCTTATTTGAGCAAATGATTCTGCGAGGAAGGAAGTACCCTTCCAAACTGCTGAATTGAATTCAGATGTCAAAAGGCATATACAGCACCCGAACTGCCTGTGGCCAAAACAAGCCACTTTCATATGAAAGTGCACGCTAACAGACTTGTGACAGTAACTTTTTTTGGCAGTGTAAAAGACATCTAGGTAAATGCAAACACTGACTGCTTACAGATAGCAACATCCACTATAAAAGATCCTGTCACAGGGTCCACCCCATTGACACAGCTTCACCCACCCTTCGGCAACAGAGATCTCCAATGTTTTTCCAGGCTGCGAGCCCCAAAGCGAACCACTGAATCAGAATGCTGGAAAACGGCCCAGACCTCCCTCTGCACTGCTGGGAAGAACAGAACAGCCTGTGCTGGGATGAAAGGTATGGAAATTTGCCTCATGGATGCTGGAGGTATGTCACCCAGCCCAACTTTATGTCATGTATCTGTCCTGCTTAAGTCTTATCCCTTTGGATGTTCTCCTTTTATTTTTCAGTATTAAATTAACTCCATCTTGCATCACGAACAATTGCATGCTCCTTCTCTAATAATTGCATGTTCTTTCTCTCTACTGCCCCAGTAGTAAGCCGAGGGAATCACAAGCTGTAGTTTCACTTGCATTTTCTCTAGCAAACGTTTTTTTTTTTCTCTTCTTCAGGTTGAGTTATTTTTAACCTGGCTCAATCCCCAAATTAGATTCACTGCCTGGTGGCATGAGAAGTTGTACCAGCGCACTTGGGAGAAATGGAGGGGGGCGTGCTTCGGATGTGAAAGAAGGTCTCGGTGTCCAGAGGGAAGGCTTAGGCGAGCACCGCTGCCAAGTGAAGTGCTTGAGGAGATGCAGCCTTGGCTTCTCATTTTTCACATGCATTCACAAAGAGGTCTAAGAAATCATCCTAATGCACACAAGAGCCAGGGTTTACATCTATGAGTTGAGAACACACTACCAATTTTGGGAATATATCCTAAGATTTGTCCTCAGCCTACCTTCGGTAGACAAAGCCATTAGGTGTGGGTGGTTGTTAACACTCTCTGCCACTGAGGTCCCCCCTTTACCCTCTTGCAAAGGAGGAAAGCATAGATGTGACAGCAAGGGCAGGACAGCTCAAAGTGCCAAAAAAGGATCCAGGACTGGTCCAAAAGGATCCAAAGCCACCAATATCCCCTTGGTAAATCCAGCAGAGCCAGGACCTGAGCTTGTGGTGAGTGCACCTCGTCCCCTCCACAGAAGGAAGATGGCAAATACAGGCCCCTGATTCTCCAGAAACCTCATCCTGCCCGCCTGCTACCCAGCTCGTGCTCTCACAGGTTGGTGAGAACCTTCAGTGGCCTGTAGATACCTTGTGGGAGGCACTCAGGACGCTGCAGTTTGGCCCCCAGGAAAGCTTCAGGCCTTCCACACAGTAAGGCTGTGGGTGGATTTTTTTCTGCGCCATGACAGAGGAACTAGCTCGACAGAAACTCAGTGATACGAGTTGGAAAGCTGTGAGTGCCTCATGAGCTAAATGAAGCGTGGCTTGCAGAGAAACGGAACAGCATTCATTAGTGAGTAATAGGAATGAAAATGGAGAAGCTTTTTGGGACACAATCCTTTGACTCTGAAACAGAAAATTCCCACTTTAGGATAAGTGGCACTTGGAAGACTTACTCTGGCTTTAATTTATTTATGTCAAGATAAAAGGATGGTCAATACCTGTAAAGCAGAAAGATATGCTAAGAACAGAGGTGGCGAGTCCTGTGTGTCAGAGGAACAGTGATGGTTTTATACAGTAAGACTGGATGAAAACAGCAAAAAGCCATAAAATCGATATCCCCATGGTTAGCCCGTGAAGGAAACAAGGTTTACAGAGAGTTGTTTTCATTAAATCTGCTGTTACCCTGTAGCTGAAAACAGCAGCTTAGCTTCTGGGATCAGTTTCTCTTAACGAGGTTTTTATTTCCCCAAAGCTTATTTACTTTTCCAGGTTACAGTGCTTCACTCTGAAGCAGGTCTCCCAAGGAAAGAAAATCCCTCAGCAATCACATATAAAATCCTACTACTTAAAAATGTTTCTCCAACAGAGCAGTAAAAAAAAAAAAAAACCACCCCCCCCCCCCAAAAAAAAAAAAATCTGCAGCCTTTAAAAAAAAAAAAGCCATATGAAAGAGTTAAAACTGAGAAAAGTCAGCAAGCTCTCTGAAGGCATTGTCTACGCAGGCAGCATCTGGCAGCAGGCACCCCTTAACCTCATCTAGCCTGAACCGACTGCTAATGGACATTTACCCTCTGCTGCTGCTGCAGAGCCACCCCACTCCGCTCTCTGCAGGGCTGACTCACTCTGCAGTGCACGCTCACAGGCACGCAATCTGCCACATTACAGGGGACTATTTATGTGCCAGCAGACACCACCTCTTTTAATCAGGCACTCTCCAAGTCTGTCATTTCACGCTCTGAGGCTGCCTGTTCCCCTCTTCCAAACCAAATACAAAGTCACTCCCTGGCAGCTGGGACTGCGCTCTCATCTAGCACGCTGCTGTCAGTAAATGAAGGAGAGCGACTAAAACATCCGTAATTTTCTCAGTGCCCTGAATCACTTGAGAAATTTGCTGATGCAATAGCATCAGTGAAGGACTTGAAATGCAAGTTTTCACCTGGGAGCCATCAACAAGGAGCTAGAGCATCGCTGTCAGAAAACGCTTGGCCAAAGGAACATGCTCAGATTGTTAATTTTACTCCTGGCATATTTGCAGCTACTCAGCAGAAAGCAATCCTCCACCTATGCGTGCTAGCTCCAGCTTTTGTTTTGTGCTTTGTTCTCCTGACTTGCACGGGTTTATATATTAACGAGAAAGGCTTGATGTTCTAAGGCATGAGCCAAAATGCTATCCATGGGGTTTTGCCTGCATTCGGTTATGTAAGTATGCATCACCATCCTGAGCCTAGTAACAGCCTTCTGCAAGCTGTCACCAAGCTACAGTGGGATCTTAGAGTTCCTATAGATCGGTGTCTTTAAATTGCTTCTTTCTTTTACAGATGAGAGCTACCACCAGCATTTGGTTGCTCTCTTAAATGCAATTTGCTTATACTCTTGTAGCTGGCAGAAGGTTCCCGTTAAAGAAAGTAAAACCAGATCTTAAACATATTTGCAGCTTCAGCCAGGACCTTCTCCTGTCCTGCTGCACAAGCAAGATACAATTCCCCTCACCAGAACTGCAGGATGTATGTGGCATGCTTTCCAGAGAGCCTGGATTCACGATTTGCCCCCTCCCAGCTGCAAGCTCTATCTCTGCACAGAAGAACTGTGAAGGCACTCATTGCAATCAGTGCTGAGAGAATTATGCTATAGTTTCCATAGACTTTACCCAGGGGTGGTAAACATCTAATTCAGAAGTTTAGAGTCTACTACCTTTACAGAAGGAAAGCATGATCAACACAATTCAGACCAGGAAATTCTCCCTTACCACTGCCTATTAAATGAATGCAGACAGATCAGCTTTATAGCAAACAGAATAAACCAATTACTTTGTTAATAATTACCATTGATCAACAGTTGTTGTAACTACACCTTCATAGAAGTTTGTGAAAATCCATACTAGCAGAAAGATTGTCTCACAGGTGAAGTCTTCTGAGCAGTCCCCAGTTTGGAAATCAGCTGCCCAGAAGATGCACAAGGCACCACCAGACCTGGGCTAGTGAATGCTCCTGCCAGGTTCAAAGCTCCAGTGAATTCCTTGTGCTCTGGCCGTAGCTCCTCATGGTGCTTACACCAGACTTGTTTGGTGCACAAGCACATACAAGCTACATGGGTGAAATACATGACACGACCCACATTGCCATTCCAGGCCAGGCTGGCAGAGAGGTTCCAACAGATCACTCCAGATTCTTCAGCGTAATTTGATCACAAAGGCATGACTAGTACTAGGTATGGGTCATATTAACAAGGTAAAGCTTGACCTGTTCTCCAGTCTATACAACCAAATTGAAGCTAACACTTCCCAAAGGCAATTTGGAACAAGCTTTACATTTTTAAGGGTCCAACATCCATTTCCCATGCGAGCTTCAGTGTTGCTTTGCAAGACTCATAAATCCTCAGGACAAGACAAGATTGCTACTAGCCGTAAAAACAGAACTCAGGTCAAGTTTACAAGCTCCTGATTTATAAGTTAAAAATATGAGTTCTATGAATGAACACATTTTGTTGATGAGACTATTGGTCAGGTACTTTAGAGGCAATTGCTGCTAAGGGTGCAGCTTTCCAACCAGCTAAGCTTCTGCAGAGCCACCACAAGGACAAGCTGCCCAAAGGCTCTTCAGCAGCTCCTATTCCTTGTCACTTGCCTGCATGCACCCTGGCCCCTGACCTGGTCTGCTCAGACCATGCTGCACAGCCACAGCATTTCCGTGTGCCAGAGCAAAGATT